GAGCGGTGCTGATGGCGGGTGGGTGGGTGTGGCCCTGAGACAGCTGGAAATATGAAGGGGCCCGCAGTGGACGCTGAGGGCCAGCCAAAAAGTGCCACGTGTGGGAGTGTATGTGCATCCACGCCACTGTCCTCGCACCAGAGAGGCAGGGCTCTGTGGCTGTCTTGCTGGAGGCTCTGACCCGAGGCGTCACTCCACCATGAATAAAGAAAGTGTGAAGTAGTGAACTGCTGGGGGAGGTGACAAATCCGGGGGAAGCCTGATGCTTGTGGGCCACACCGGGATGTGTGGAAAGTCACCAAAAAGTAAGAAACGAGGAGGGACAGGCACAGTGACACAGTCCTGAGGACAAGAGAGGGAGAGTGGAGGGGAGGTGTACCAGGAAGGGGCCCCGGGGAAGGATCAAGCTGCTCAGGGAACTTTCCTCCCCCACCAGGCAAAAAATGGCAGCTTTAGGTTTTTTCCATTCTATGAGGTGATTTTATCTGTATTGGTTTTCTAGGACTGAAATGATAAGCTGGGTGCCTTAAGACAAGAGAAATGTATTGTCTCCCGGTTTGGAAGCTGGAAGTTCAAAATCAAGGTGTCGGCAAGGCCATCACCTTGAAGCTGTAGGGGAGAGGCTGTAGGGCTACACCCTTCCTCGCCTCTCTTCGGCTGGCGGCGGCTGGCGGCACTCGGGGCTCTTCCTTGGTGTGTAGCCGCCTCAGTTCAACCTCGAGTCTGTTGTCACATGGAGCTGTCCTCTCTGTGTCTAAGCCCCTCCTCTTCCACAGGCGTTAGTCACCCCCAGTTGTACTGGGGACCGCCCCAATCCAGGGGGCCCTCCTTCTGATTACGGGGATTCCATTTGGACCCTATTACCAAATAAGGTGGCACATACCCTTATTTGTCGAGGATTAGGCCTTGAATATACCTTTCTGGTGTGTCCCTTAACTTCCTCTAATGACCTTAGCCTTTCAGTAAAGCTCACACAGCCTTCAGTTACCCTGTGAGGAGAAAGGGACAGAACAAACAGGTCACGTGTCACCTGCCTCCCCCCGTCCCTCCGCTGTGGGAAGACAGAGGTGTCCTAGTTAAGCCTCCTCAAGGATGCTGAGAAGAGCTGTCACAGTCTCCTCACTACCCTGCCTCTTCCCCCAAGATGTTGTACAGGGAGAAGACCTGGAAAGGCGTACGCGTGCACATGCGTGTGTGGCTGACATACGTGCACCTGTCTTCCCCCTCTGCCCCCTGGAAATCGTACCTTTGCTGGGTGTGCAGTGGCTGGCTCATGCGAGCATTTCCTGCAGCCGGGCTCAGGGCGGCCTTGCTCAGTAAATATTTGTTGAACCAAACGGAGAGACGCTAAATTGAGTTGTGGGAATGGATCACGCCAATACTCCCTTGGCCTTGGAAAAAGAAAAAGAGAGGAACTTGTTAAGAGAACAGCAAGGGCTTGGAGCAGAGAGTGCTGCCCGGAGCCCTGAGGAGGCCGCCTGCGGGGCCGAGTCAGTAGAGAATTTTCTGGCATGTCGTTAGCTTTCCCAGGCCCTGTGGCTTCTTGTCCTCTCACCCAGGAGAGATGTCCAGCGCCTCCTCTGCCCTTCAGAAACGTCTGCCTTTCCCGAGGGCCATCTGTGAGATTCCTGGCAATCTGGCGTGGCAGACACAGGTCTATGTCCCCTCCGGCTGGGGACCAGGTGCTCCCGCTTTCGTGTGACCCCAGCCTTCACGGGGACACCGTGAGCACAGACACAAATCGGCACTCTCCCCCCCGCAATGTCCTTTCATTCTGTGGGCGCCCTCGGTGCCTTCACACCCCGCCCACCGTCCCCAGGGGGCATCACCTGGATTCCAGGAGAACAGCTGTGGGTGCCTGTGCCGTTTCCCTCATCTTCAAACTTGGCTCACTGTGCTGATGCCGCCACCAAAATGACAGCAATGCCACCGAGGCCCACCTCAGCCACCACACAAGAGCTGGTGCCCCCTAATGTCCCAAGGGTGATGCTTTCATCAGTGCTCACCCCGGAAACTGAAGGGCTAGGCCCAAACCTCTGTCACTATGTCATGAACCCCAGCAGGCATGGCTGCCACAGCTATGCCACAGTCCCCAGGCCACCACCACTGCCACCAGCGCTGCTCCCTACAGAGCCGACACCACTGCCTGGACCACCAGCTCCTGTCGGCAAAGCTGCTGCCGCCAGTCCCAAGGCTCCTGACACACCAGGTCTCAGGGCCTCTTGGGGGGGTCTAGAAATAACTCTGGGGGCTGGGGGAGGTTACAGTGCCGGCTTGGCGACCGCCATGCCCTGAGGTTTAGGCAGGAGACTCTGGGGCCACCTGAGAGGAAGACCGCGCTGGTTTTCAAATGTCCCCTTCATTCTGGGGGGGTGGCTTTTTGTCACCCAATCAAGTGAGGTTCCCACTCTCTCTCTCTCTGCTCAGCTAGTCCCTGGTCTGCCTGTCACAGGTCCCTCGGAATTTTGCTTCACTGGATGTCCCAACAGGCCCAGAGACGAGAGCAAACTCAATAAAACTGAGGTGGTAAATCCTAATACGTCAACTGAAACTTAATTTCTACCCCAAGTGTATTTTCCCAACATGAATGTAAAGCATCGTCACAGGCCCTGCCTGAGGGGCACAGGGGATGAAAAACCCCAGTTCACACGCCACCGTCACGGGGTCACGGGGCGGGCGCTGCTGATCACGGTGAAGGCGGCCAGTCTGACACTGACCACCGGCCCGGGGAGGGGCAGCTGCCGGCGCCTTGGCCACCCCCGTCCCAGAGGAAAGGTGGAGAGGACTTGAGTCACGGCCAAGGATGCCCGACTCAAGAGAGTCAGGATTTACAAATGGAGGCAATCTTGGACACTGTTGAGTCCAGTGGTGTTCAAACCGAAAACTGAGAGACCCTGTCCTCAAATGAGATTCCACATGGGACCCCAAAACGTCACAGGTAAAAGGGGGTGCTCTGAGGGGAGTAGGCAGACACTCTTGGGCCCCAGCCTCCCAACCAGGCTCACCCCCTTGTGGGGCCCACAGGCGCATGTGGTCGTGGGGACTCCAATCTGAAAGCCACCGATCTCCGTGGCTGCCCTTCATTTCACAGACGATGGGCGTGGGGCCTGGCAGGTCCTCCCACATCGGTGACTGGAACCCACGGCCCTCACCCCCACTCCTACTCTCTGTCCACAAAGATGGTTTCTGACTCAGCTTCTTCCTCTTTACAATGACGATAGAACCAAAACATCTGCTCCACCTACTGGGGGGCTCCCTGAGGGTCCTGGGCAGGAGACAGCGCCAGGGACAGCCTACAGCCCACGACTGCCTCTGGAATACATCAGCCGATGTGTCCCTGGCACTCCTGCTCCTGCTCCCACTGCCCCCCCCCCACAGGTGCACCAGAAAGTGGAGAATCTGGGCTCCCCTTAAAGAGAGAAGGCCCCCAACTCCAGGTGCAGGTGGCAGATGGGTGCCCAGGAGTGAGGCTCTGTACCCTCAAAAAAGCCACAGCCTCCTGGAAGTGCCCCCACCCCACCCATCAGAATGTTTCCTTGCTATTGAAAGGAGCCTCCACTCTCTCAGGAAATTCCCAGAAGCCCCGTTTCCTGATGGCTTGGCAGTGAGGAGCACCTCAGGGCTGTGTGCTGGGAGTTATGGCGCCCCATAATGCTTTCCCTCACACTTCACTGTCTGCCTCCTGGGGACCATGAACAGTTCCTGCCCAGGGCCTCGGGGAGTCCACGTAGGACCAGCTCTTTTCGCTTGCAGCCCTCAAGGCTTCCCAAGGGTGCAGGTGCCGGGCGGGGGAGCTCGGGATGCTGCGTCTGGGCCTCCCACTGTCTGGGCCAGGGAGCAGCAGGGAGGGAGGGCACACTGGCTCCTCCTTCTGCTCCTGGTCTGGAGTTGAGGGGCTTCTGGGAGGGTCCAGGTGTTTTACTTGGGCACCCCACCTTCAGCTCCAGACCTTCCCCAGGATGAGGGGGACAGAGAGGGGCACCGAAAGTGGTCAGAGCCTGCTCACGCCCCAGCACCTGAGAGAGGCCAGCCCTGCCGCAGGCCCCAGACCTCCAGGCAGCCAGGCGTCCTGACAGGGCATCACTGAGGCTGTGGGCGGGGCTTGGGTGCACAGCAATGCACTGGGCACCTTATTCTTGGTTTTCTGGCTAAGATGAGAAAAGCCCTGGCCTCGTGTCCACCACAGCACAGTGGATTTCACTGGGAGAGCGGACTCGAGGAGGGGGACTCCAGCTGGGCCGGCATCTGCTCTCACTGTCTGTGTCCAGGTCACGATCTGGCCACCAAGGGAATGTCTTCACTAACCCCTGCCCGGAATAGCAGCCACAAGAATGGAGCCCCCAGGTCACATCCGTCACCTCTGCCTCAGCCACACGGGGCACTCGAGCTCCTCAAAAGCCTGGGTATAATTTCAGGGTAAAATACCACGGTTTGGTTTGCCTTTGTAAAAAGGCAGAGGCCTAAATTAGCAGCCTGTCTGGAGCGCATTCCCCAGGGAGTCTCTACCCTTTCAAAGGAACTCCAGGAAATGCCAGTAGAACAGGAGTGACCCGCCCTCAGGGCGCGGGCACCAGCCCTCACGCTCCTTTCTCAGACAGGAGCCATCTGCTGGCAGGAGGCTTCGACAGAGGGTGTGGCAGCCGCACCCCCTACCCCGACTCTGGCTCAGGGTCCCACAGAGCCTCCTCGCTGCCCCTGGTATAAAACTCAATGGCGTAGAAGGACCCTCAGGGGACTCTGACTGGCACGGGTGCATTTATTCAACAAACAGAGACGGAAGGCTCGCCTTGGGCAGCCTAACGCCAGGCCTGCGAAGATGCCTGCAGAGATGGCACCGTGGCCCAGGCATTCTGGGAGCTCACGGGCCAGTGGGCATGAGGGTCAGTTCTATGAGTTGTACTTGGTTAGAGGACCGTCCCCAGTCATCCACTTAAACACACTCACCTAGGTGTCACTGCAAAGATATTTTGTAAACTTGACTGAAGCTGACGTTAAGTTAGGGAGGGTATCCTCAGTAACCTGGGTAGGCCAGCTGGATTCGATCAGCTGACAGGCCTTCCAGGCAGAGTGCAGATTTTCTCACACCTGGGAGGTCAAGCCTGAGGTGGGTGAGCTCTGACATGGAAAGCATGGACTCCATCGGTCTGGCGTCAGTCTGGCAGTGTAATCGGTGACAGGTCCGTGGCTATCCCTGAGTGACCCTGGTGATGGAAACTCAGCATCAGAAGGAGGGAAGAAATGTCAAGGGGTCTGGATGCGGCATCATGCCCCAACATCCCGAGAAGAATGAGACCCCTCCTGCCCACTGGATCAGTGGTCCCATCCTTTTCGGTATCGGCAACAGGTTTCATGCAAGACAATTTTTCCATGGACTGGGAGGAGCGGGTGAGGGACGGTTTCCAGATGACTCAATGGCATCCCATTCCAGCTCACCTCTGGCCGCGTGGCCTGGTTCCTAACAGGCCAGGGCCGGGCCTGGTCTGTGGCCTGGAGGTTGGGCACCCCTGCTCTAAAACCCTGGAGGGTCTCACAGTCTGGTGCAGTCCCAGCTGTCACTGCTCCTGTGGGACCCCTCCCTCGCAGCTCAGCCATCTCCACCCTGCCCCAGCCCTCTCTCTGAGGGGCTGGAGGAAAGAAAGCTGCTCCCCCCCTTTCCTCCTTGAGAGCCACAGAAGCCCCCGTGTGCCTCTCTGCCAGCAGTTAACCCACGGCCTTCTCCCTTCTTGCCTGCCGTTCCTTCTCTAGTGACAAGTGTGTCATTTGCTGATGAGAGCAGGAGGTGCAGAGAAAACCCCCCTGTGAGGTGAGGGAGAAAGGGCCAAGGGCCTCAAGAGTCAGGACCAGTCAGGCACAGCCACAAGCAGACGGGGCCCCACCTCCCCCTTCAAAGTGAGGTGCCTTCTCAATGGCGACAGAGCCTTGGAGCCACTGGCTCGTGCTCGGTTACACAGACTTTTCTGATTATTGGGAGCCAGACACAGGACCCTGCATCTCGTCACTGTGTGACTACGGGCTGGCGGGGCCCACTGAATTCGGAGACAGGAGAAGAAGTGAGAAGGGGAAGGGAAGACTGGAGGGGAGGTTCATCAGAACCGTTGTAGGTCTGCCCACTGCCGGAAGCACCCACACTCTGTCCGAGATGGTAACAGTGTAGATGAGGGCTCAGGACAGTTGGGTTGATTCCGATGGCACTGACTTACAACTCCACTTCAGGGAGGGTATCCCAACTGTGTGGGGAAGAGCTGTTTCCAAGTACCCTCAGCCACCTCGAAAGCTCCGTTCACACTGTGCCTGTGTGTTATCGGGGTAACTACAAACTGTTGTCACCTCTGCATTGAGGGAGGTCCCTGAAGAAGAATGCAGCATCCCTTCTCTCTATAATTGGTACTTTTCACTAATCCACACTGACCGTCCCTACTCCTGGTGCATAACAACTAGGTATGATTGACTTGCTCACTTTCTGTCTCTTTCTTCTTCTGATATGGTGGGCCCGGACTCAGAGGCCTTTCCCTTCCTGACCCTCCATCTCCCCTGGCTTTAGCCAACGGCCTTGTCAGTCCCATCCTGGCTTCTGTGGGGAACTGTTTCTGGAGGAAGGGAAGAACTAGACCTTGAACCTTCACCTCCAGAATTCACACACTCCACTTCTTGGCCAGCTCTTCCCACAGTCTCTTTCTCCAGCTTCCTTTCTCTCTCAGTCCCTGTGTGTTCTCTGCCTCCATTTCCATTGTCCACTCTCTTCATTCTTCAAATGCCTGCCCCTCCTTCTGGGCTCAACTCTCCCCCTGCCTGGACTAGCTGCTGGCTCAGTTTGGGTTTCCTCCTCCCCTCGGGGTTTTTAGCCCCTTCAAGACTCACCTTTGCCTCACCATCCTTGGTCTTCAGCATGTCATCCATGCACCAACAGCAGCTTCAGGGACATCGGAGCTTCTTAGAGATGTAGAGTCTCAGGCCCCACCCAAACCTGCGGGGTCAGAATGCTGGTTCCAAGATCCCCAGATAATCCGGGTGCACAGTGGCGACTGATCAACTCCACTCCAAAGCAGAGGATGCGTTCCTAACAGCCAACACCACGTGACTTTGTCCCACTGTGTTCTCGGCACTGTCCACTATGCTGGCAAACAGTAGATGCTCAACAGTAGATGAATAGGTGGATTTCTGGGCTTTTCTCTCTGACCTCGTGAACTATGACCCCTTCTTCTTCTTCTTTTTTTTTAAAGGTTTCATTTATCTACTTTTAGAGAGAGGGGAAGGGAGGGAGAAAGAGAAGGAGAGAAACATCAGTGTGAGAGATACACATCTATCGGTTGCCTCTCGCATGCCCCATCCTGGGGACCTGGCCTGCAACCCAGGTATGTGCTCTGACTGGGGATCAAACCAGCGATCTTTCTTTTCACAGGCTGGGGCTCAATCCACTGAGCCACATGAGCCAGGACAAACTATGTCCTCTTGTAAGCGGCCACTTTGATCGTTTGCCCCCTTCACCTTGCCTTTCTCACCTCTTTTCCCTCCTCTTCCTCCTCTGCCACCAGGAACAGGATCAGACTGGCATGCAGGGGAGGAGCTTGCTGAAGGTGCACCAGAGACCCCCACAGGAGATGTTGTTGAGCCCTGGAGTCTGGTCATGGGAGCCACGGGGAGGATTCCATCACGTTCCTATGCGTGTTCTTCACTCACCAACCAGCGAAACTCAGACAAAGTAAGGGCCCCATGAATTCTGTCACCTTTTAGAGGTAACAAGTGCTGACTCCAAGTGACATAATATCTGAGTTCCAGTTTGCTTCTGCATTCCCCATTTTTAAATTAAAAACACGGGAATGAAATACTAGTGACAGCAGAAGAGAGGGAGAAAGTGTAGGAAACAGCCAACTGTGCCCAGGCGGAGTCCTCAGGTGCCCCCGTCGATTCTGGTTTTTCTCTTTGATCACAGCGCACCCTCTCCTGGGAACAATGCAAAACAAAGCAAACTCCTGCCCAAATTACACACGGACCAGAGGGTTGTCAAGGGTGATAACAGGGAGGTGGGGGGAGAGGACACAAAGATGGGAGCTGAGCATTCTGGCGAAAGGGGGTGTAATGGAGAGATCCAAGAGAGGGGAGAGGAAAGGGCTGGAACACAGAACAACCAGATAGGTTTTGCAGCCTAACACATTCTCATTACAAACCTTCATATATATGTATATTTTTCAAAAGTGTCTACCTTGCGGTTATTTAGTAAACTGATGAGAAATTTCAGCCGTGCACTTGCCGGCTCCTTGTTCAAATGCCTCATAAATGGCAAGGTGAGTGGCCCTGATTCAGTCTCCTCCCTGGGGCTCACTGGGAACCATGTCTTCTGCAGCACCTCATCCGGCAACTCGTCCTCTCCAAGGACCCGTGTGTGGGGGCCCTGTCTGCAGGCCCCCTCCCAGGCGGGTTCCCTTCCACATTCAGGGACCGACATGCTTCCCATTGGGCATGAGCAGGAGGCAGTACCCTCTTCCCACTCTGACTGGCCCAGCAGATCCCAATGACACCTACAAAACCTACTGTCCTGGGGAGAAACTTCAGGTGACAGTCGCCCTGGCCAGGCCAGGAGGAGCAGCTGCAATGGAGGGAAGGATGCTGGACCTGGCTGCAAAGCCGGCCTGCCCGGCAGGACGGTGGGGTTTCTGGGAGATTCGCACTTGCATTGGGTGACATTCTGACTAGAAGGCATGGATCCAAAGATCGAGTGACTTACACCAGCTGAGACCGTGAATAATCACTGAGGAAAAGCTGATGGCTTAATTGCAAGGTGGGATGTAAACACTGAAAAAGGAAGGAAACAAATGGGGTCTGGAGGGGAACGTGGGAGGCTGAGGGCCATTGGAGCCCCACTGCACGGCTGCCATGACCTCCAACATGCAGTCGCCACCCCCAGATCCCTGCTGTTTCCCCATCACAGAGGCGGCCACTGGGCCGATATCGACTCGCCCTCCAGGAGGCCTTGGGTCAGGGAGAGATGTCGGTGGCTGACCTAGAGTTAGTCACAGCACAGAGACGAGGAGGAGACAAGTGTCTCGGTTGGAGCTATAGAGGTGCTTGAGTCAGGAACATTTGCTAGCAAGTTACTTACCTGTGCTAACCACCATCCGTGAGATGGGATAACAATACAGATTGATGACATTGTGGGGCCATTTAGTTCTTGGAACATAGTGAACGCTAAGGAATAACTAGCACTACTTCTATATTTGGAGACTCTTTTGGAGCTTAAACACTTGCCATCTCAAATGAAGAACATATGTGTGATTCTCATGTGAAAAGTAATTAGAATCCAGTGACAATTTCTCCCTAGCCACTTGAGCGGCAGTTCTCAAAGTTCAGTGAGCAGGAAAATCGCCCAGTGTGCCCGTTAAAAATCCAACTACCCCCTCAGCCCTCCCCACCCAGCACCGTCTGACTCGGTGCGTCCAGGAAGAGACCTTGCCGCTCTGCGTGGAAATGATCAGCTTGTGGGTCTGCCTATAAAGACATTGAGGGGAAGCAATGCGCCTCACTCATCTCTGTCCCCTACTCTCAGCTCAGCTCCTGGAACGTAGGAGGCACTTAGGAATGTCACTTGGATGTTCAAAGTGGCCGTTTGCCTTTAAGAATAGCCGCTGGGGGAGTTCTTAGCACAGAACTACATTTGGGCCTTAATTTCATGTCTTATCCAGAGAATGGGTGCCGAACACAACAACATGACTAAATCCACCAAAAATACTCAGTGCTTCCAATTACAGCACCTGAGATGAGATAGAGGAGAAAGGGCTGCTTCTCACACCCCGGGGGCTGAATCCTCAGGGAAAATGCAGTAAGTCTTTGGAACAGCAGCAAAAAGGGGCGATTTTCCGAAGGCAAGGAAGTCACATGAAGACAGAAAAAGGGCCATCGAGGAAAAGAGGACATGCAGAGGCAGTGACAATCCCCCTTTCCTCCTACTTCCAGCTCATGTCCCCAGGCCTCCATCCGACTCCGCCACTACCTAACTTCGGGACCAGAGGAAGCCCCTCCATTGTACCCTCTGTGACTGAGAGCAATGTCGTCTCTGCCATGAGTCATGGTAGGCCGACCTTGGCCCATCTCTGCAGCCTCTTCCCTTCCTCCCAGCTCTCCACACTTGACCTTGGCCAAGCTCTTGTATTTGGGAAAACTCCACCTCACTTCCTTCCTTGGCTGCCAGACTGCGGCTCATGCTGTGCAACTCAGCTCCAGGCTCTGCTGGGCCAGGCCTCATTCAGGTGCTCCCTCCTGCCCTTGTCCCAGGTCCTGCCTTTCTTCTCTGTACCTGCCTCCTTGCCTGTCCTCCACGACATTCTGAGTAAGGGCTGCCCTGCTTGTCTCTGTGTTCCTGTCTACCAGCACAATGCCGGGTACAGTACAGATGCTTAACGTGTGCTTCGGTAATTAGTTAATTGGAAATACACCTGATGGGGAATAAGCTCCCAGATTGGGGCACAGGGTGGCAAGAGTGAAGACACACCATTGCCCAGGGTGGGTGACACTTGTGTTTGACCTGCTGGGGGGACAGGCAGTGAACGAGCAGGGGCACCAGAGGGACTTGGACGATGCCGTGACGCAGGGCAGCTCTGCTCTGTGTTCCTAAGAAGCAAGTGAGTTGGGTGCATCTTCCCCAGGAGGTTTTAGAGCAGAAATGAACTGTCTTCGTGCAGCTACAGGCGAAAGTCAACACCGAAATAGCAGGGTAGGAAATGAAAAGCTCCACTCAGAAACTTCCTGAAAGGGAGGATTGGGGTCACAGGATGCTGATGGGGGGTCAGCTCAAGATTCCCTCAACTGTAACTGTAAGTGGGCCTCGCTAACCTCCCTCCCCGGGAACTGCAAGCAGCGCTGGCCCGGCGCAGTTAGGAAGACCTTGGGTGCGACATCGGGGAAATTGCCTCAGCCGCTGGGCAATATGTTTGTTCTTTTATAATAGTTTCCTGGATATAAATTGCTCCAAGAAAGCTGTAGGCTGTTGAGAAAAGAGCCCGTGTCTTTAAATTAACCTGTATCCACCCATACCAGCCAAGCTCAAGTGGGACCCATCTGTGACACAGGCTGGGAGAACACTGGGTCAGAGAAAATGGGAGTAAATGCACACCCCTCCCTGCATTTAGGCTTGGGGACAGAAGTTGCAGAGTGCTCTCTGTGTGCCCAGCTCTGCACTGATGGCTTTGTACACTATCCCACCTAATCCACACAGTGTCTGAGGCTAGGATATTATCGTCCCCATTTCGCTGATGAGGAAACTGAGGCACTAAGCTGCATGAACTTACGATGTAGACATAATACACCTGGAGCCCCTCCTCAGAGCCCATCTGAGCCCAGCAGCCTTGCGCGCCTCCTCCCCCTCTCCTCCCTCCTCGCACTCCCAGGGCGCCCCCAGCACCCCAGCTGCAGCGGCAGGACTCCTGTACCCTGTCCTCTATACGCCACCCAAGTTTATCTGCCCTGTATCCCACCCTAGGGGTGCAAAGACCAGCTGCGGTCGCCGTGAGTTTGCAGGTGGCGAGCCAGTGCTCCTAGCATTGACACCTTGCACCCCCGTCACCACCCTGTGAAGCCAGGGTCATGGGAGCTCCCGGTTGGCTGCTGTGGATATTGAATTAGGTGATTTGTATATAGGGCTTATAAAGACGGTTGACACCCAGTAAAATATTGAGTTGGCTAAAGAGTTTGTTTTTTTCCATAAGATGGCTCTGGTAGCTCTTAGTTGTCTTGAACTTCACTCGAAATGACTTTGTTAGATTGCATTGTGACAGCTGTCCTATCAGCATGCGTTTTTTATAAATCCATCAAAATTGGTGAATTTTTGTACAGCCATTTTAATATTAAAGATGGAAAAAATAAGTAACGTTTCCAGCATATTATGCTTTATTATTTCAAGAAAGGTAAAAACGCAACTGGAACACAGAAAAAAGATTTGTGCAGTGTATGGAGAAAGTACTGTGACTGATTAAATGTGTCAAAAGTGATTTGCAAAGTTTTGGGCCAGAGATTTCTCACTGGACGATGCTCCACAGTCGGATGGACCAGCTGAAGTTGATAGTTATCAGATGGAGACATTAATTGAGAACAATCAACCTTATACAACACAGGAGATAAGTCATCATACTCCAAATATTGAAATCAATATAGTTATTGGTGAAAATGAAAAAGGTGTCTTTTATTTTAGGGCAAAAAACTAAACGAACTTTTTGGCCAACCCAGTAATCATGAACTCTCCCATGTCCCAGCTGTAAATTGATAAAGCTGGGATTTGAACCTTGATCTTTCAGCCTTCGAAGACCAAGGCATCTGTTCTCCAAGCAACCAGCTCCTATGACAAACTTATTTGACATCACAGCTATGGTGACTCCCTCCACATTCACTGAGCGACAGGATTTTCTTTCCAGTTCTATTTACTTAAGTTGAAGAAAAAAGTACGGAACATACGTGTGTGGTCTATGCACGTATGTGCGTGTGTACATTTTTTTCAGCTAAAAGTCACGCCCAGGTACCCACCAAAGGCCACTCTGTGAGCCTTTCAGGCCGCGACAAGGGGCAGCAGAGTCTGGTGGCCCAGCAGCCCGTGCCTGTAACAAGCCAAGATTCTTCACGCCCAGCCCTGACCCTGATTTCTTAAGACAAAGGACAGGGTGTGCGTCTTCAGTGCCAGCTCATGGCACATAATAGGTTCTTGGAAAACTCTTGCTTCACTGAATTGCTGGTGAGGTAAAGGGAGGCAGGAGCCAGGACAGGCGGGCAGGGGGCAGCCAGGGTCCACGTCCCGTGTAAAAAGCCACCGAGCAGATTGCTCCT